CATCAGTCTGGCTGTTTTTATGAAATTAGAGCTGCCTATGATATGAAGCTGACTGTTGGACATTGGATATTAGTGATAGAATTAAATTGAATGGCTAGGGAACAAAACCAGAAGTCCCAGTTGTGATTAGAATGAACTGGATATGCAATTATAAACAAGCAAACCTTGATAAACGTGTCAACACATGTCGGGAGCACACGTTCTAATCACATCTAAACATGAAGAATCTATCATATTCACAGCAGCTGTTTCAAGTGAAAGAACTCCAGAGGAACTCACCAAAAGTATATAATAACTGATGAAATTAGTTTTCTACTTTGAAGGCAATATTATGATAAATACAAATCAAAATGTTGTCTTTAAATTTACAGTATTAGCTTGAAGCTATTGGATGGACTTAAACAGAAAAAGAATGCTTTGAAAAAGAAAAACAGCCATATAGTTCAAGTTCTAAAAAAAAAAAAAATATCTGTCAATGGACAATTCCGGATGAAATAGTCTTAACATAAAGGTCAATTGTAAAGAAATTTAGGAAGCTGGTTATAAAATTAAATGCATTACAAACATGAATTCAATATTTTCTAACACCAGTTACATGAGTATAAATCCATATACAAGTGGATTTATTATAAAATCGTATAGTATGACACCAATAAAACCATTCTATATCAAAAGGGACAAACTCTAGTACTTCCCCCATATGCCATGTGTTGGAGGCAGTTTCTTGCACCTGTTGTGGGTGTGATTCCATCACTAAAATAGAGTATTCATGTACAGAAAGCCCTGATAGATGCAGTTTATCTACAATTTCAAACCTTTTTGTATACATGTTTCTGGTGTTAACTAAGGATAACTAAGCCAAAAAAAAAAAAACAAAACTACACAAAATTCAAAAAGGATTACAAGTTTTGAAATTCTTCCTGAGAAAGGTTCGCCACAATGGTAAATAATTGACATAATTATTGAAGGAAAGCTTGCCTGACAGACAAACTTGGGGAAATGGGAGAGGGGACATTCCGTGCTAGGTATCATATAACCCAGTCATGTTGACACAGTTGAGTGCAATGTCTGGCACTATTGCGCATAGTATGTACTCAAGAAATTGTTAGCTCTTCTTATTGAAAAAATATGCACAGGAATGTTCTGATGCCTTCTAATCAGTGTCATTAGCATCATAAAGTTTTACCCAACCACAGAACCCACTGGCTGTGATAAAACCAAATAAGAATATTGACTGTTTTGCAGAGATTGTGGAACATGTGCTCCCAACATGTGTTGACAGGTTTGTCAAGGTTTGCTTGTTTATAATTGCAGGAGGGGCAGTTCTATTATGTCATATAGAAATGTATCACCTTATATGAGCAAATGTCAAATATTAATAGATAGTTAAAAATTTGGCAATACCCATTAGTTCCATTTGTTTTTATGGTACTCTAATTTACACTAGAGTTTAACGTAACAAAGTATTTGCTATCGATGTAAAAGGTAATATCTTTTTGTAGGCAGAAAAGTAATATCTCAATAATTAAACTAAGCAGACTAGGCTGGTGCCTGTGAATAGGGTGCCGGACCCATACACTGAGGGTGGAGGGAACCTGGCCCTGGCCAAATCGCAACAAAAAATAGCCGGGCCTTGTGGTGGGCGCCTGTAGTCCCAGCTACTAGGGAGGCTGAGGCAAAAGAATCGCCTAAGCCCAAGAGCTGGAGGTTGCTGTGAGCTGCGATGCCATGGCACTCTACCAAGGGCAATAGAGTCAGACTCTGTCTCAAAAAAAAAAAAAAAAAA